CACCATCTAGTTCTCCCGGTCTCATAGTCTTATAAGCTGAGGATCACATGATGTACCAGTCCCTTGGACTAATTGTTTCCATGTATCTTTGGTTTTCTTAATTTTTCTTTGGTCTGGACAAGGTGAGATCCATTGTTACAAATATATGGCTGCTTGCAAGCTTTTAAGATCCCAGTTGCTACTTGTAAGCTTTTAAGATCCCAGTTGCTACTTGTCAAAGTAGGATGTGAAACAATGTTTTTGTGTACTATGTTATGCCAATTGAACTTGATGTCCCCTGGGACCATGGTCCTGAGCCCACAGGTCCAACTACTTGCTCCCTCTGGGTAGCTGGCTGTGGCCAAGAAGTCACTACAACTTTGTCCCTTGTCAGCTCTATGATATATCTGGAAATTCTTACATAACATACAAATATACTTGTAGAAACAGTATCTGACAACCCTATATATGGTCATGGGCACACTGCCACCTACATGTTGTTGTTGTTGTTGTTATGTGCCGTTGAGTCAAACCAGACTCATAGCAACCCCTCCTTGGGTTTCCAAGGCAGTATCACTACAGAATAGGATTGCCCAACCTTCCTTCCGAGGAGTGGCTGGTGGGTTTGAACCGCCAGCCGTCTGGTTAGCAAGCAAGTGTCTTAGCCACTATGCCACCTACATAGACATACCTAATAGTTCAGCTTGTCTATCCATCTATTCACTCATATATCCATGTTTGCCTTCACTGACAACACAGTACTGTATGTGCTAAAGGGTTTATCTTTGTTGTCCGTACTTCCCATGGACCTCTCTGTGTCTTCCTCTTCCTCAATGCCACTGTGTTGATCACTCACATTTGGTACATTGCCCTTCCCTTCACCCAAATCAATATTTGTCTCTACCTATCTAGCAGTGTTCTTACTGTTGTCTTTTATGAACAGAAATTCTAAATTTTAAGGTATTTCATTCAGTGCAATTTATCAGTCTCTTTATGATTATACTTTTTGTGTCTGATTTTAGAAAGCTTTCTATAGCCAATGGCAGAATGATATTCTTATAGTATTTATTTATCTATCTATCTTGCCTTCTATGTTTAGATCTACAATCTACCAAGAATGAATTTGTTATGGTGTGAGGTATGGGTCAAAATTAATTTTTCCCATATCCTACTGGCTTAGGATGATTTAATGAAAAGATTGTTTATTTTCATGGCAATGTGGTACCATCTCTGTTGTAAATAGTGTCCATATACACATGCAACTGTATCTAAACTCTCTGTTTCGTTCATCTATTTTTCTAGCCTTGCACTGTCTAAATGACTGTAGCTTCATAGTAAGTTTATAGTAAGTTTTAATATCTGGTAGAAGAAGTTCTCCCAGCTTGTTTTTCTTCTTCAAAATTATCTTGGTTACTTCTGTTTTTAAAAAGATTATTTTGGTGTTATTAGGTGCTGTCCAGTCAATTCTGGCTCACAGCGAC